AGGCCAGGAGCTACTGCTTGAGCAACATCTCCAGCCCCTGTGTTATAAGTTTAATGTACTCTTTTCAGGCATAAAATAAAGAGTTGTAAAATATGTATGTGTCAGAGATTGAGGGTAGTTTCATCAGGAATAAGGAGAACCCAGGCTGTTCATATGGCCTCTGAGGCAATGGAGACACAGAAGTCTGGTTTTCTCTCTCCCACAGATAGGCTATTCTACCAATTTGAATCCCAGGAGGCATGGGTTTCAACATCCTCTAGTGCTTTGCTGTCCTTAAAATTTGATTTTAAAGAGCACTCCTGGACATACCTCATCCTAAGAACTCTCCATTTTTACCACTTGGGGAAGGTCCATGATGTCCTCCTTTCTTAGGTCATTTTTAGAGAAGCTCTTCCAATGATTGATAAGTACAGGCATCACACACACTCCTTGTGTTCTAGTGATTATGAAGGTCATTTATTTTGTCTTAGTATTCCATAAACCACAAAATAATCCATGCATCCCTGTATTTCAGATCAAATCCATATGTTCTCTTTCACAATAGAATTTGTGAGATGATCAAGTTCAAATGTTCTTTTTAAAGTTATGGCCTTGGATTTTATAATGATATATTTGAGGTGTATCTGTGACCATATGGAAGTATCTATGGAAACCAACAGATTAGAATCTCATCTTTCCCTTTCTGTATGACAGAGTGGGTGGAGAAAAAAAGTAGTTGTGAACCTGAAGGAAGAGACCCTTCCCATCCTAATCATAGAAAGGTCTTCTCAGATGATAACCTCCTGCTCACTCCCACCATCCAGGGGAAGACTTGTCTCTACTACCTGGGGAAGGTTCAGGGTCTCCATTCTCCTCACTGTCCCCTGTGTAATAGGGTAGCTTAGTTGCTGAGCCATCATCAGATATAGTTCCTAGTAGGGAGAAAACATCATAAACACAGGAGGAGGTACAATGTCATGGTTCAGAAAAAATTTAGAAGCTTCATCCTTGTAGAGAAAGGGCTTAGAGCTCCTGCCTTAGAAGGATGCTGATAATTGTTATAGTGGTCCAGGAACATTCCTAAAAGTTCTTTTTCTAAATAGTTGGTCCTCAGGTTGGTGGTATTTGAAAAGGTAGAACCTTTAAGTTGTGAAAACTAGTGGGAGGAATGAAGTTGTTGGGTGCATCCTCTTAAAAAGTATTGTAGGATGCTAATCTCTTCTTCTTTCTCTTAATATTCTGGTCACTATGAGGTGAGGATCTTTGCTCTACCACATGCTCCCAGCATGATAGGCTGCCTTACATTGGCCAAAAGCAGTAAAATATCTGAAAATGGAAGCCAAATCAAACTTTCTTCTTTATAATTTGATTCCCTCAGACATTTTATTTCAGTAATAGAAAGCTACCAAATATGCCACGTGAGGTTGG